TATGACAGGAGGGATTTATATGTTGTTTTTTTTTTCTATTGTTCCAGTGAGACATCTACCTGTACATTTCTGAAGCACTTTTAGGAAAACAAAGACTGGGCTATTCTAAAATACACAAGAATGCCCAGCTTGGGTTAAAATGTATATCGATTGTGGTGTTAAGTAGGAGAAAATAAAAAAAATAAGAGGATCAAAGATGGTCACCTCCGATTGTCCATCCTTTAAGAGTAGAAAGTACTTACATATCAGTTATTTCCCTTTTTTTAATACTGATTATAATTAATCCTTCTTATTTTCTTATATGAATTCAATCCATTTAAAGCCTTTTTAGAGGATGAAAATTTATTTCACCATTAAAAAATTACAAAAGGGAAATGAACCAAGACTAAGTTAATTCTGTATTACATATGAACACAAGCTTTGCATCATAACAAGAAAGCATGGACAACATATAAACAGTTTATGTGCTTCCATTGTATTTTATTTTATTTTATATAAAAAAAAGCTCATTTAATGAGTAACTGGAATATTAGGAAACCAACCCTTTGACTTTAATTGTACAAATACAGGTCTTAGTGCGTGCCCGTGGTTTTCCCCCCAGTGCGTCTAGTGGTAGAGAAAGGTATTACAGTAAAATTTGTTTAGAAAATAAGCCTTTCAAATAAATAAATAAAACTACGGAAGCGTATTGCTGTCACTGGAGAAAATAAGCGTTTGCTAATTATATTTTATAAACGTAATAGTATATTGCATAGGGGCTGGAAATGATTTTAAAAAATCTACTTGCCGTTCAGGCGCTCCATAAAAAACACAAAACTTTACGAGATTAATCTCGCACATTAAAATGATTCGCTTCTTTCAAGTACTGTAAATGCTCCTCCTCCCTATTTTCATTGTTAATTATCTTCGTGGAAAAAAATGACCCTATTTTAAGCCAAGCCACGCGTGCCAGGCTGAAGGCATCCATTTTACGCATATAGATTACATATTTTAAGCTTTCTATATCGTGAATGCATTTTCTTTTCTATTGAGATTAATATCCGTGCAGCTCTATGGAAAATAATACAATATGATAAAAGTAAATGTAGTATAAATTGTGTTAATATTTGTTTCTGAAGCTGCTGGTGCAGCCATGTGTCTGGCAGCCATAAAAAGCTGAAGTGACAGGTGAGCAGCAGAGGAGCGTCAGTCCTGCTCTCAGACTGACGCGCGCAGCAGCAAAGGATCCCAACCTGCCGCACGACTCAGCATCGACCAGCGACTCCTCAGCACCGCACCGGAGTGGATGGATCCCCCATTTAGCCTTATTTATCGGGTAGAAGGAGCAGCGGAGCAACTCCTGCTAAATGATCTGAATTGTACAAATATATTCCTTTCTGCCTCAGCGCTTTGAGATTCCAGTTTGTTAATCTGCGCTCCGCTGTACTTATAATCAACCAGCGATTCAATACTTCTCTACTCCTACTGACAAAACAGCAGATCAAGACTGTGGCGCTGTGGAGATGCACCCGGGCTCTGGCAGCAGAAATGGTTTGGTTAAATGCAGAGCTGGGTAAGTGATGGCGACAGAACTGCATCAGGTCAGAGACTGGTCCTCTGCGCGCTGGGATGAAGGAAGAGCTCCTCACTGCTGAATGAACACTTTCCTGTCTGATGCACTAAAACACTCATATGTCAACGATGGATCTGAAAGTGGAGACAGAAGAACTGGACTCCAGCCAGCCTCCTCAAATAGAAGTTTTTGCTCACAGTTCCACCCTGCACGGAATCTCCCACATCTTCACTTATGAGCGCTTCTGTGTCAAACGTTTCCTGTGGCTCGTTTTCTTCCTAGCCTCGCTGACTTTCCTGATCTACGTGTGCGTGGATCGGATCCACTTCTACCTCGAGTATCCCCATGTTACCAAGCTGGACGAGGTGTCCACCCCGGTCATGACGTTCCCGGCGGTGACATTCTGCAACCTGAACGCGTTCCGCTTTAGCAGGCTGAGCCGAAACGACTTGTTCTATGTGGGAGAGCTCCTGGCTCTGCTCAACAACAGGTAGGTTCCTATCAACACCTCATCAAGAGTCTCACTAAAGTTCACACTGTCAAATCCAAAACTATAACTTTTATTTGTATCCCTTTACTGGTCTAGCTCTCAGATTTGAACAAAATAGCATTTTAGAAAATCAAACAAAAATATGTATGAGGTATACAGCACATCCCCAACTTTACAACAACCCTTTATATATTTGTAACATAGGATTTAGAATGCTAAACCTGCTCAGTGGCGCAGATGGTTGCACTGCTGCCTTGCAGCAAGAAGGTCCTGGGTTAGATTCCTGGCCAGGGGTCTTTTAGCATGAAGTTTGCATGTTCTCCCTAAGCATGCGTGGGTTCTCTCAGGGTACTCCGGCTTCCTCCCACAGTCCAAAAACATGACTGTTGGGTTAATTGGCTTCTCTAAATTGTCCTTAGGTGTGAGTGTGTGCATGAATGGTTGTTTGTTCTGTTTGTCTCTGTGTTGCCCTGCGATGGACTGGCGACCTGTCCAGGGTGTACCCCGCCCATCGCCCGTAGACAGCTGGAGATAGGCACCAGCAACCCTCGCGACCCCACTTGTGATAAGCGTGTAAGAAAATGGATGGATGGATGAGGTCCACAACCCATCCCTACCGTTACAACAACCCTTTATATATTTGTAACATTAAGATTTAGAATGCTATACCTGTCCAGTGGAACAGTGGGTAGCACTGCTGCCTTGCACCAACAAGGTTGTGGGTTTGACTGCTGGCCCTGGGTCCTCCTGCATGGAGTCTGCAAGTTCTCCATGTGCATGTATGGGTTCTCTCCGGGTACTCCGGCTTCCTCCCACAGTCCTAAAACATGACTGTTAGGTTTATTGGCTTCTCTAAATTCTCCTTAGTTGTTGTTTGTCTCTGTGTTGCCCTGTGATGGACTTGCGACTTGTCCAGGGTTGTACCCCGCCTCTTGCCTGTAGACAGCCGGAGGTAGGAACCAGCACCCCTTGCGACCCCCTTGGGATGAAGCGTGAGAGAAAAAATGGATGGTTTAGAATCCTATGAAGTTAGGTTAGTAGATTGTGTGTGTTTAAGTAAGTGTTTAAGTTTTATTAGTAATGTGAAGTCTCTTTAAGAAATGGCTTAGTAGTGTTTACTCTTAATTTATCAAAAATCTTTAACACTTTTTGAGTTACTTTAACTCAAAAATTTATGATTAATAATTGCGCGCTTATTAAAAAGATCCTTTCTAGCTGAGATATTACTATTTTTATGATGGTTGAACTGTAAAGTGCCTTGAGATGACTTGTGTTGTGAATTGAAGCTATATAAATAAACTGAATTGAATTCAATTGAATTGCCTAGAGTTGATTAACAGCATATCAGGTTATCACACATGGTGCATTAAGGGGTTACATCAACCTAAAACACATTATTCCTTTCAATTTTGCTGATAAAATAATAGTCCATGTTTTGTTTGCTCAGGTAATGAGTCACATTTCAATTAACTAATCAGCAACTTATTTTCTTATATCACTGATCCAAAAATATGGCTCTTCCTACCTTTTTGAGTCATTCAGTGCTTGAAGACCAGGCTTGTCAGACTTAAATAATGTGAACCATCATAATCAGGAGGCTCCTGCTATATTTTTGTCTCAGTGGAAGGCTTTGGATCCAGGAGCTGGCAGAAACACCAGGTACTGTATACACTGGAGGGAAGCATCAGGAGAGGCTGCTTTGATTTTGAGTGAGACAGCTAAAGCTCAGGGTGTTTTTGTCATTTACACATTTTGATCCAAGAGAATCTTAAATTTTCCCCTCAGCCGCAAAGAAACCCTTCTCATCGTCCATTACATCCACTTGTGTCTAAGCTGCTTAAGATTTGGAGGGTTTTGTAGTTTTTTTCTACCCTGTTTTCCATGAATAACATGAAAAACCTTTTTTGTTATGGAATTATGCCTAAGAATTACAGGAATAAAGATCTCACAGTGTGAGGCAAGAGACTTATCCTGGCTGTAAAAGCTTTTTGATTGCATGCCCTTTGGTGCTGTAATATTTTTCCAAATGTCAACAGAGGCAGCAACAATGAAGCAATTAGTGAGTTGGTTTCTTTTACTTAGTGCCCACAGCGTTTTAGGAGAACAGATTGTTGGATGTGTGGGATTCAAGGCTTTAAAAGTGATAAAATCTTAAAGCTAAGAGCTCAACTAAGGCGTACACTTTGGACATTTTATGGTGGGCTTTAGTCAAGATTTAACTATTTCGTTAAAAAGATTATTTAAATGATGATTTTGATGCATAAATATAATAAAACACATATTTTCACTGTTAACAAAACTTTAAGAATAATCTATTTCAATGCCCTTATCTTATATATATTACCCTTTAATCTGCTCCTACTACATGGATTCTGTTACCAATGTAGAAAAAGCATGCAATGACACTCTACGCTGTCTGAAATGTAAGTGCTTATGGTATAAAATGCATCAGTGACTTCTTTCTGCCTACCTAAAGCGATTGCAGCCATTGGTCTGGAAAATGCTTGAGATTTAAGTTGCACATGCTGAGGGGTCAGTCTCGGCTGTTTCATTCAGCTTGTTCTTCTGGGATTTTCTGTCATTCCGCACTTTTTCATAATATCTGATCAATAGAAGTACTTTGCAAAGTTCTTTTCTTTTTAGTCAAACAAGAACAGCCCCCAAGTGAGTCCAGTCAGACTGTCACAAAACATAAATCTGTAATCTAAATGGCATTACTGTTATTACAAATGAATTGCTTAGTTTGATGGTTAGAAGTCACGGCGTCTAAGTTTTCTGAACACTTCAACAAGATGTATGTATCTTGACATCTAATGCTGCTATCTTGGAATTCATTAAAACAAAATGCTGTATCTCATTTTTATTCAATGGAAATGCCTGGGGTGCATTAAAACAGGCTTTTATGACAAATGAGCAGAGGATTATATTCATACGGCACTACAGAAATTTCTAAAAGGTTTTTCATTTGTGCCGTTGTTTAGGTTGAACTAAAACTCTGCTCTTTGTGAGTACATTAAAGTGGTGACATTTGAATAAAAGCATGGTGGGAGATCACAGCCAGGGTAACATGCAGGAACTATCGATTTTCTGCTGTCTTTTAGACCAAGGTAGCACGTGCATATTTCTCCATGTAGTTCAATTCAATGACAGTAAATCTCAGCAATACAGAATATTATTGTGGGTGGTTTGGTGTGACCATTTAATTTCCACATTAAATAGTCTCAGTTTAGATTCAAAAACACCTAAAGGAGGTATAAACAATGAAATAGATATAGAACTGTGACTGAAACTACACTATGTAAAATGTTAGGATGCTAATTGTTTAACTTTGTTAACAACATAACTGAGTTAAAATTAAAATGTTAAGAAATTGATGTCTTTTTTTACAGAAGTAATAAATGTATTTGTAAGTCGCTTCATTAAACAATAAATGGTTGGTTTGTAGCTTTATTAAAGTATTTGAATAAACAGAATTATTTAAATATGTGGGATCAGTTGATCACATTTTAATTTTAAAATTCCTAATTAAACATACCACAAAATAGTTGATTAAAACTGAGGAAATAAACTTTTTGAACCTAAAAGATTTATTTTTAATGACATTTCTTTGTAAAAAAAAAATGTTACTGTAGTAGTTTTATTCTGATTGAAATGGAAATGGAGAGAAGCGATTCCTTCATTCTCCCTTTCTGACAAAAGGGAGAATGAAAATAAGTTATATATATTAATTCTATACATTAAAGTACATTAATGTATAGATGTTTTAATATATAATATCAAAACAAAATGAACCCATTAAGTTTTATCATTTCCTTTAGTCTAATATGAATTTGAAATTATATAAAAAAACTTAATCAAAGGAAAATAAATAACAAAAAAGTTACTAATTTACTCATAAACAGATTTATAAAATAAAATATATCCTACGATAAAGAAATGAAACTGAATTACTTAAACCATAAAATAATGAGTTAATTCAGTAAAGTAAAAAGCATTTGGAAATAAAAATTATTAAGAGTAATAGGGGTGCCCAAACCTTTTTATATGACTGTATGAGCATATTAGACAACTGACTTGGGTTAGGACCATTCAGAGACTCTAAGCTTTATTGCATCTGAATTCTGATGTAGCTTTAACAGGGACTTTTTGTAGAATTAAGAAGGTCAATGATTGTCATAGTTTTGTTCATGCTTCTGACCCACATGCAGAGATAAACCTCTCAGACAACTCAAGAAGGCAGGTTTAACAGATTTATGAAATAACAGTGTAGGGATGATGAAGGTAGATTCAGAAACTGGTGGTCCTGGTCCTCTGGAAAACATGATAGAATTAGACGGGAATGTGAGTGGGAAATATTGCTTACTTTCAAGCACTCAGTCACTCAGCTGAGGTTGTTCCACAAAGAACCTTAGAGTGACTGAGAATCAACCAGTTCCTCCATTGGAGGTTGTTTGTGAGGTTGAAGGCTGCTGCTGGGTGGACAGATGGTGCCAAGAGGAGCAGTTCTACTCTCTTCAGCTTCACAGGAGAATCTTTTAGAGATAAAGCTCTTTGCTTGACAGCTTGTAAAGTCACATGAATGGTTACCTGAAGAAACATGAAAACTGGTTCCTAACTCATAGAGATCTCGAGGAGCTCAGGAGGGCTCAACAGTTACCAGTTAGGTTAACACTGCTGCGGAGAGTAGTCGGTGTCCTGGTCCTCTTAAGCACCCAGTAGAGCAGCTGATGATTAGCACGTGCGGGGACTCCTCACCTGCAGCTGATGATCTCATCATCACAGCAGCTCAGCAGAAAAACCTCAGCTGGAAAAAAAAAAAAAAAACCCTAATGATGTACCCCTAAATGCCTCTTTTAAACCTGCTTTTGTTGTCTACAGTTGTTTTGTTGATTCTTTTCACCATAGACTTGACAGATTACTGCACATTTATTAATCAACAAATAAACATTTAGTCTACTTTTGTTATTTAATTACTATTTGCCTATCTATAGACTATATTTTCTTGCAAAAAGCAAATTTTAAAATCATGCACATACTGTATCTGGTTTACAGATTACAGTTAAAGCAATTATCATCTGACCAAACAGTAAATGGACATTAAATAACCAGACACAGCTAACTTTCTTCAGCTTTTTTGAGGGACGTATTACTGGTCATACATTTTTTTTTTTTGGTCCCTTCTCCCTTTTCTCTATTTAGTTGCATTGCCCATTCCAGTATATAATTCATGCTTTATTTAACAATTGTAACCCGACCATCTGAAAATATTAGCTGAAGTATTTGATCTAAACAGAGCCTCATAGATCCCTGAGTGCATGCTGCTCTCAGAGCTGTCACCTCGTGTCAGTCGGGAAACACATTAATGTCGGGTGTGAAGATAAGCGGTGAGTTTGTTAACAACATGTTGGTTGGCAAAATGTTTGAGCCGCTAATCAACTCAAAGTGGCTAAAACTGTCTTTGCAGTTCACATCACACGCATTGGCCCCTTTATCCTTCTGGTAATAGGTAAAGCAAAAAATTACACCAAAAAATTAAGCAAGTGAAATCTAGCATTTAGGTATGAGTTTGAGTAATCATAAAGAAAATTAATGTTTAGAACTTGTCCCTTTTTTTTGGCACAGTAATTGTTGCATTAGTCTGCATGCACTGCTTCAAATATCAACTGAATGATGTCTTTTAAGGTTAAAGTTTTGAACCAGTTGTGTTGGAGCTGAGATGTATATCTTAAACATGTATGGCATTCATGGATCAATTAAAGTGATAGGCATTGTAGGTGGTTTCAGCATGAATATTCAGTTTATTTTAAAAAAGGTAACCTAATTTCAACACAAGATGAAAGTTCTGAGTGAATGATCACTTTTCCCTCTCGACTCATGAGGAGAACCTCCTCGCTGTCTGACCACTGCAAGTAAAAAATCCTAAAGTAGTGTTCTGCCAATCAGCATCGAGCTAAGAGCTATAGCCTCAATGGAAGTGATATATTTCTCTGTACCAGAGGTCACGGATTAGTGGACTAGGGTCCGGATCCGGACCCACCTGCTGGCTGATCCGTACCCAACCTGATTTAAAGCATTTATAAATGACTACATGTTGTCGACAGCGTCTAAACATCACTTGCTCCGCTTCTCCTGTTTGTATGGTAAAGCCATCTGGAACGTCAAACACCAGGCTCCACGTGATACAAATTATTCAGGGAGCTGTGTCAGTCAGAGTTGCTGCTGCTAGCTACTTTAAGATACAGCAGGCAAACCTGTATCAAACTGGGCGATGGGAAAGAAGTAGAAGACAATGAGAAAAACAGAGCAGAGAAGAACTACGGTAAACTAGTGAAAGAAAAGTAAAATGGTGTGCTCAAAGATGACCCTGCACATTTTAGCTCAACCTACTGCTGTGAAGCAGGATTCTCCATCATGAATATACTCATAAATAAATATCAATTCAGGCTCAAAAGGAGCACCTTGGTATGTGCTTAAGAATGGCTTTGTCGCCATTCAAACCCAGGCTAAAGCCGTGCAGGTCAGCCTAAAGCTCTCTTCTGTCATTAAGCCATGAAAAAGTTCAGGCGTTTTTTGTTTTTTTAAGGTGAGTCAGGAAATTGTCTATATACCAAACTGAAAGATTGCTGTTCTCTACTTCAGAAAAGTAGAGAAAATTTAGATTTTAAAATGGAAAAACGTTCTATTTTTCATATTTTTCATTTAACAATTCAATGTATCACATGGATGCATAAACACCTGCATTTTATTTCAGTGTTAAATATTAGTTAAAGTAATGGAAAATAATATTGAAAATGTCTCCGGACCTTTACTGGTTGTTGATTTTCTTTATTCGGACCCCGCTGATTTATAATTGGTTACCCCTGCTCTAGAGGCTTAGTTCAAGAGACAGAGGCTCAAACCTCAACAGGGATTTCTCATACAGGCCGACAGGCGTCCGGGGGAGATGGCGTCCGAGAGCAGCTGATAAATGTAGCGCATATTTGATGCAGTTTAATGACTACATTTATTAAGTCTGACAACGCACATTTTACCAAGAATTTTAAGAAATTTACAGGGGAGGTTTAGCCTGCCTAGTATTTAATGGGAAATCACCAGAGGTTCATAGCTACCCAAACTTCGTCCTAACACTGCTCTTATTGCTGTTTCGTATCAAACAGAGGAAAAGGACAACAATAGCTTCTAGCTGCTGAACACAGTGACCAATTAGGATGGAGAACCAGTTCCAGTCCAGAATAAATACACACGGGCATATAATTTGTTCCTCTCTCTTGGTGCTTAAGCATTTTCAATTGGGATTAACATGCTGGACTCTACAGTGCCAAGTCTCAGCTTTAATTTGACGAGGCCCAAATTTCAAATAGTTCATTATTAATTAGATACCTTGCCCAGTAACGATGCCTGACCACTACTTGTTTTGGTTCAGAATCAGAATCAGAAATACTTTAATGATCCCAGAGCGAAATTACTTTTGTTAAACGCTCCAGTTACAGTTTTATATATATATATATATGTATGTATATATATCCATATGTAAAACTAAATCCAAGCAAAGTGATAATCCATGCAAAGTGATAATCCAAGTAAAGTGATAGTTCATGGTCATCAAAGCTCACCAGCAGCTCGAGGGTCTGGTTTTGAAGATGTGATTTAGTTAGTTGTCAACAACAGGGGCCAGTATGTCAGAAAGATATAAAGCTTTGTTTTTGTTTTTTTGTTTTGGTATTCTGCAGTTATCCATAGTTAAATATTTTAAGTTGACTGTTTTAATGTGAGTGCACATGATTCCCTCACATTACTCCAGGATGCTTAAAAGCCTTGGAGTAGATTCTTAGAATGTTTAAATCTGTACGTCTCATTTTGTTAGGCTTTGATTATTGTTGAGAGTAGAGCCAGCCTTTTGAAATTGGCTCTAGGGTGTTTGTTGTCTGATGGTTTGAACCCCCAGCTAAACTGTTATGCTGATATTTACTGGATATTTCATCTCTGCTAAAGAATTGCCATTTCCAAATGCTCGACCTTATTAACTCAGCGAGGCACAGTTCTGAATGTGTTGTTTAGGTGAAACTTTCACATTATAGCTTAACCAAATGCCTCCTGGCTATGACAAACCAGAGAAACAAAATTTAGGAGCCACTGCTCAAACCCAAACACATCTATCTCTGGGACCCTAATAGGTAAGGCTTGAGTTAGAGAGCTGCATATAGCCTAGAGCTGTAGCACTGTCAGTGATTGGACGGCTGGGTTTATGGGCCTGTGTCTGAACTTTATTATGGAACGTTCAATAAACTGTTTTACTCTGGTAATGTCCGTCCATTTGAGTGGCAGCAAAATGCCACAGGAAAACCATCATGTTGAGTTTTATTGCCAGTTTTCTGTCCCTTTTGATTTATTCAGGAATGTTATTTTAAGCTCCAGCTGAGCAGAGCAAAAGTTCTTTAATAAAAACTTTTTTTGAACAGTGCAAAAAATGTTCAGAGGATACAAATGAGGTTGGCTTTTGTTCATTAGAAGGTGACTCTTCTATTCTGAGATACTGCTGACTCATCAGTCTGTGCTAAATTAAAAGGCATAAATTTAGCATGTAAAATTAAGGCGGATTTTTCTGTCTCTCTAGGTATGAGATTCGGGACATACATCTCGTGGAGGAGAGCGTTCTGGAAAGCCTGAAGCTGAAAACTGACTTCCAGAATTTCAAGCCGCGACCTTTTAACATGCTGGAATTCTACGACCGTACCGGTCACGACATTAACGACATGCTGCTGTCCTGCCACTTCCACGGCACAGAGTGCAGACCAGAGCACTTCAAAGTGGTGAGTGTTTTTCCCTTCAGAGATTTTGTTCTTCCCAGCGGCTGTGAGTCTCCTGAAGCCACAGCCAAGGTTCTGGGGCTCCAGTTGCTGCCAGTAAATATTTGGAAGCTGAAGAGCAAACATTATGGCCAAGGTTTTCATTTTGTGAGCTGGTCAATGTTTGAGCACATCTAAGATTCATGAAGAGAGTTTTTTTTATCCACATTATTTCCCCCCTTTAGCTCCTCACAAAATTTTCACTTGCTAGCAAGCCAACGCAAATGCAGTTAGTCAATGGAGAGCAGCCTCAACAAAGAGAGAAAACATTTTAAGCAGCTTAATTGTTAACCTCCTTAATCATTAGACAACATAAAGGGGTGTTAGTGCAGAGGTTGCAGGGAAGTATGGCTCTATGTATTCAAAATAGGAATTGATTACTTGAATCCATTGACAGGTACTGCATTTGTTCACAATTTTCTTGATAAGTTTGTAATCCTAAATCATAGGCAGGAATCCCATTTGAATTATAGACCTTTAAATTTTTTAGTTTAAAATTTTTTTCCAACATTAAAAATGATTATGCAGCCACTAAAATTAATCAAATTATTGTGGATGTTCTCAAATCTCTGATATATATGAACTTATTAACATTTGGATGTATATTCTGTGTGCCTTTTATATGAATCAAGTTTCTGAGATAATTTTGGTTGGATGTTTCGAAACACAACTACTGTAGGAAAAACTGGAAGAGATCATTAAAACTGGTTGGTTTCATGGTATCGTCCAGGATTTTAAACATTGTTCTAAAACTTTGGGATGTTGAAGGCCTAAAAAGGCCATTCCAGAGACTAAGGTTATATTTTTACCCCTGACACATTTACTTCCCCATTTGTTACAGACCTTTTGTGCAGGTATGAATAAAGATAAGAGGACTCCAGTCCTGGCTAAACAACCAGACTGAGACCCTCTATTTTAAGTGTTCTTGGTCTTTTTCCGAACTAACTGTGTTGCATTTCACCTCATGTATGAATACAAACTGGTCTTGGTCCGACTCAAATGCAGCAACCATACAACTCATTGGACTCAGAAAGCCACTATAGGAGTAGATGTAATATCAGAATCATACCTGTTCCACTGTCTGTTGCTTAGGAACATTGCTGCCAACATCTTGTGGATCTCCCCCTGGCTTAAAGGAGGCATTCTCCAAAACAAACAACAATATTTTAAGTAAAATGTCTCTAAATCTGAGCTGCTCTCAACTTTCAGACTTTATAAACTGGTTTAAATCTAAAATTCTCCATAAGTATCTACACTGAGTTTCATTAAAATCTGTTCATTGGGTTCTAGATAACAAGTTATCACCATGCAGGGGAAGAGAAAACACTACTTAAAGTCAAACATGACTGAGTTTTAGCTGCTTCAGTCAATAGACATGCAATAATTATCGTCACCGTTTTCCTTTTTTTTTTTTTACTCCATTTCATGGAAATCGTTTGGGGAGATCTAAAATGTGTGTCTGTGATGAATGATACATTACTTCTAGGTCCTTACTCACCAATTCAGTTCCAATTGAATTTTATCAAACTAGGTCAAACTTTTCATACTATGTCTGGATAAATGTTGTTTTTTTGTGTGTAACAACTGTTAAGATCATAACACAGCATTATAGTGTGTAGTGGGAAAAAGTATTCAACTATTCACCCTAGTTAAATAAACGGAGATTGATGGATTTCACTCAGTCGGCACATTATTTTCATATCTTTGCAGAGAGAGAACAGTTCATCATACAACCCTTACTGCTCTGTATTCAGCCCCGTTGTGCCTGGGCAGAGTGTCTTCCCCTTACTTACGACAATGGAAAGCTGTCAGAGTCAAAACAAATTACAGACACTTTGGTTAAACAGTAACATGCTATGAATAATTCTTGAGAAAGAATCTGGCTTTTTTATGAAAGAAGCCATGTCTGGTCTACAAACATCCTCATGCAGGATAATTGTGTGGCCTTGCAGGTGAAAACTTTATAGTGAGTAAATAGAATAAATTAATATATGAAATGAGAGAAATCTAAATTTTCCGACCACAGGTGACTAATATTAGATGACATGAGACATCACATTAAGTCATCACATCTGGATTTTAATTGATGTGTAGTTACAGAAACTAAAGTGGTATAACATTACATACATTATTAGCATCTGCCCCCGCAGATATTTCCCCAGGGGAGCTAATGTGCAGGTTCTTTTTAATGTAATGATTCTGCTGCACAATGCAGAATCATGGCGTGATTTACATGCATGGTATTTATGGTTTTTTTTTCTCCACTGCTGGAGATTATCAGCATTTCAAAAGCGAAAGAAAAATCTTTTTTCACTTCCACTACAAAGTCATCAAGATTACTAAAAATTGGATACATATTTTCCTTAATTTATCCAAACCGTAGAAATGATTATATTCTCCAGAGGGGCAACAAATACCTTTTTATAAATTATTATTGTAAAAATTGAATGAGAATACTGTTACCTATTAAAATGCATTTATTCTGAAATAGAGTTTTATGAATAATGTGCCTATACAGGGATTCCCGATTACTAAACATGTTTGCATTTTGACACATTATAGACACTAACTTTAATTGCATTAATATAAGAGTGACCACCAAAAAGCAGAGTATAAAAGCGAAATTAGAATTTGTTGTAATTCTGCATCAAAATGAATATTATCATTGCTGATTGTAAGATGGATGCAGCTTACTACAGAGCAAAGTCTGGGTACTGGGCAGAGGCTCATCTTTCAACAGGAATCTGACCTTAACTGTACAACAGGTGCAGAAATGAGGAGAATGAGACTACTGTAATATTGGCTTTCAGGGATCTAACCCACATGCAGAACACTCAGAGACTGGGAAAAAGTTCACAAGTTTATTGAATAATATTTTACAATAAAGAACACTGGTTCTGGGATAAACTGGGTCCGGGTCTGGTCACGACTGGTTTTCTCTGCAGAGAGGGACAGATTGGTTAGCAGACTTTCAGTGGACTTGCAGGTTGAGTGTTTGCAGGTCTATACCTGATCAGAGATGAGCAGAGCGGTAGAAGGGGGGAACCAGGAGGGTCCAGAGGCTGAAGGCAGGCAGAGGGCTAGGCAAAGGCAGGGCAGAGCAGAGCAGATAATCTTACTGAGCAGATTCTGAGCTTCTCCCTCAGCTCATGCTGAGAGCGGGCAGGCAGGTTTTCAGACTGAGTGGATTTCTAGAGGTTCTACTGAGAACAGACAACTTGGTCTCACGTTTCGGAAACCCTTCCAGGTCTTCAGGTTTCCAGGCAGGTTCTTCCTGAGAAGCAGAGAGGACAAAAAGCAGGTTAGGTTCAGGTTCAGGCTTCAAGGGAGTCAGAGATACAGACAGGCAGGTTGGCTCAGGTTCGCTAACCATAACTGGCAAACACTCTGGCGTCGGATTGTAGCTCTGCCCCTCCTTAAATGCTGGTCCCCTGATGAGCTCATGAGCCGCAGGTGTGGTGGTCAGCTTCAGCCCCAGGAGACCTAGAACGTCCTCTGCTGGAGAAAGGTGGACAGACCTCCAGATCCCAACAACTACAGCTGTTCATGAAAATATTAATTACATCTCTGTTAAAAGCTGCAATCAGTATTGATTACCACTAATTTTCATTTTCTTTGCCTTTTTACCTCCAAAGTCCAGACCAAAATGCAATCTTACATCTTAAAGAGGCTGTTCACCGATGCCTGTTATTCAGTCTGACTGAGCTGGAGCTATTCAGCAGAGAATGGGCAAATATTTCCTCCTATAGCTGGTTTAGACAGTAAAACAGACTGATTGTTATTGCAGTAAGAAGGTGGTTCAACACGAGGCTGGACACAAATACTATCAAAAATCTTGTATCATTTTCCTTCTACCTAACTGCTGTGTGTCATTCTGTCATATGCAATTCCGGTAAAATAAAATACATTTTGTAGTTGCAGGATGACAAAATGTACTTTATTATGATTGAGATTAATGTTTAATTTCTTAATAAGGGCACAAACATTCTTAATATACACAAATCTCCCTATAATAACGAAACCAACTTAACAAAAAATGTCCTATTTGTAATCTTTGTTATAAAATGTGCGAATTTCTTTTTTGTTGTTTTTTTGCAAAGTAGTAAAGTTTTACTAAGTGTGATCACCCTTGAACTTGTCTTCAAATCACATAATAACCAGCCCTCTAATGAATTTACTAACCCTTTAAGTGTGAACAGGAAACATAATTTCCTCCTCCAAATAGTCCCTTTGAGCCGTGGGAGGAAGCTTGTGGTTGTGTGGGGCTGTAATGATGCCAGAGAATAGAGCATGTCTCCTTAACCCAACCGTTGCATCACTTTTTTTGCACGGATGAACACATCTTTCCTAACATTTGATTAGTTCTGCCTCAGCTCTTTCAGATGCTGGAATATGAAATGTAGAGATGTGAACACATGAAACATGAGGCACGTCTAGGAATCCTGCTGAAGCATCTTGCTGGTCCCTTCATGTTTTATCTAAATCAAAGGGAATGACATCTTATTTAGTTGGATCAGTCCGGGCGGGATTTTAAACCTGAAACCCACCCTTCCTTTTTATTATTATCAGATGTAATAGAGGCTCTAAGAGGGGTCTGAGAAAATCGCATTTGGCAAGAAGAAAGTGACAGTAGAAAGGTGCTTTGCCACCAGAGAGGTTTAAGGTCTTGATACCTTTCTCCTTATCATCCTTTTCTAATCTACATCACATCACATCTACCAAGCTGTAAAATACACTTCCTTTGAAGGCCGCCTTTGATGCGAGGCATTGTTAATCTTTACTGCATTCCTCAGCAATGTGCCTGATGAATAAAGAAAGAACTATATCCCAACTGACTGATCTTTGTGAAAAGATAAAACACAAAATAAGGGCCTATAATAGTATGCCTCATTCTGTCTGTTATAAGATTGCAGAATCAGCTCCCAAATTAATGAACAGGACTGGTTTGGTTTCATTTGAATAAG